TCTAATTTTTGTCTTCTCCATGAAGGTCGCTTTCACCATCGCCACTCTGTCCGTTGCCGTCGCCGAGTATTGTCAGGATATTTGTGATGGTTATTCTCCCTGTGCTGACTCCAAGTATGGCTCCTACTGCAAGGGCAACGGTGTCTGCTTTGGTCTCTACCATAAGGATGATGGTTACTGCTTCCAGCCGACCGAACAGGACACCTGTGATGACTACACGTTGGAGCCGGTGGCTTGTCCCGAACCCACACCCACCTGTCAGGACGTCTGCAATGATATGTCTCAGTGCCGCGATTCCAAGTGGGGATCGTATTGCAAGACTTGGCAGAATCCGGCGGTTTGTTTCGGTATCATCAAGAAGGATGATGGTTCTCTTTGCTTTGCCCCTACTGATAGTGACTGCGAAGGTGAACCCTACTATTGTTAGCCTAGTTTAGGTATTCCTTAGAATCAACTATGTTGGTCGAATGTTCTTTTCTTAGTAGTCGTGCAATCAATCTAGATGAGTGTTTCAATATTTTATATTCTGTTGTGTTTTGTCCGGTACTTGAGTGGTTTTAAATAGACACATCCAATTGCTCGAAGACCCCTAGAGTGAAGAAATATGATCAAAAAGTCAATCGGGAGGATCGCTTCGTCAGCGTGCGTCCGGTACGCACCCGCCTACGGTAAACCCCAAGGTACGCATACCTTGAAACCAATATATTTCAAGGAAGGACAGCTCTAGTGCTTGAGGGTTTATCGCGCAATACATCCATTTTCGTACAATGTGACCTTGTATATGAACACTTTACGTGAAGGTAGATTCTATCACGATCTATCTGTATGTGAGGTCCATTTTCATGTGAGGTTTCTAATTGGGTTGTTGCTTCGGATCGAGCCAGGGTCCATGACGAGAGAATACCTCTGATTGTGAGCCAGCCCTTCCCCGTTGTGTATATCAGTTTTATCGCCAGAAATTTATTATTTTTAGAATATTTGAGTCGGCGGGTTGAGTTGGTGATGATAGAGTTTCTATCAGTACTCCAAATTCGTCTTGACAACATCGGTGGCATCACTGGAAGCAGTGGCTGATGTAGCTTAGATGGCGGCCTCGGCCGGACACTCTCGGGATCTCGAGCTAAGTCGCGTTGTATCCGATCGCGCTGGTGGTTGATGAGCTCCGGAATGAAGACGTTGACGTGGAAGTTAACGCCCGAATGAAGTTCACGGCACCGAATGAACCAACCCATAGTATTAATACATAGAGCCTTTATCGAGACAGAGTATGAGTGACACAACTTAGCACCCAGGTTCGATCCCGGCGGACCTGAGGTCGCAAGCCTCGTATACCGACAAAAGCGTCATCTGGAGAGCAGTCTAGCCATGAACTGACAGGAGATATGGGGTTACTCAAGAACCCTTCTCTTACGCCTGGGATTCGTGGGGTTAGTCGACGGTCCATGATACGCGATCGGTCCATTGCCAAAGTAGCAGAGGCTCTGCTGCAGAGCGGCGAGTGGGCTGGGTGACTCCCTCTTCGATGATGGCAGACCACCATTGACAATCCTCACGATGAGCATCGCAGGCTCGGCAGTAACGGCAATCTCTTGTCAGGAAACTCCTGATGATGCCTCTGCCTTTCCTGATTTTCAGATCACTGTAATTCTTAAGGGGATGTCAAATTTCTATTTGGGTACAGCACGCGCCATCTAGAAACGCGCAAACTAATTCCTTCACCACTCAACTCCCCATGCTTGATTACGTGCAAATCCAAGTCGCGCACTTGAAACTCAACAAAAAGCATTTTGGCCATTTTCACCTCCCTGCCTGCAGTGCATTTTCATTTGGTGTGCTCTTAGCGTCTCGAAGGGCGCTTATGGAACCACTCCAGCCCTCCCCAGCTCGCTATGACCACACACCTGAATTGAATTCATCGAGTATTCTGTTGCGCGTGTCGTGTTATAACTGACAACGCATGTTGCTATGTCGCAAGAATGTGATACTCAACACTCGACACGGCGTCCAAAAATACTTTGGTCACGAGAAGTGCGGACGCTTACAGTTGGAGATCGTTGTAACGGCGCGTATATTCACTATTCTGGACGATTGAAAAATCAGCCTTCGATACTTTTGGAA